ACAAATCCTGACAGTCTTAGTCTTAATTCTCTGTGGCGACCCCCAAAGAAGGGAGCAGCTGAAAGAAGTGCAAGATCAAAATTTCTGAAGAATGTGATTTTTCAGGATATTCACACTCAAGTGTGATAAATAAAATCAGTTGTTTCTGGTCCTGTTTGAGCAGCTGACACATCTCCAGTGAACAGCAGTGACAACTTCAGACTTTTTTCTCTTTTTTTGGTCTTTGGTCAGAATATAAATTTAGTTTTTAGTCACATCTGCAGAGATTCTTTAAATTCTCCCATTTATTAGAACTGATCATTCAACTCAGTAAATGTTTAATTGGTTTATTAGTAAAGTCTGTCATTGTTTTTTACATTTTAGCATTAAAATAATTTAAAACGTCACTCCTTCTCTAACACAACACACCAGTTTCCCTGGTCATGATAGCTGGTCTTCACTTGGACTCCAGCCACCTGAGCACACAGCTGCTCCAGCTCTCCCTGCTCGAACACGTGATAGTAGCGATGGAAGACGGGTGCTGAGCTACCACCAGAGGTCTGACCAGCGTCAGCGCTTTGCTCAGAGTCTGAGCTGTGCGGTCTCGACCCAGACAGTACGCTTGAATCCAAACCTGGATGGGTGTCGGGTCTGGAGCTTAACCCAAAGGATGGTTCCTGTTCTACTCGTGTCTTCCCTCCTTTCAGGTGCCAGGGAACCAAAAGATCCTGTGAATTAAAGGCTGTGCGGTTGGTATGAACGCCAAGCTTGCTTTCAGTGACTCCGCTAGCATGTTGCAAGTTTTCAGCAGGACAGTAGCTGTGGGTGTGGCCGCTCGGTGGAGGTTCATGGCTCTCCTCTGAGTCCTTCATGATGCTGTGGTCTCTGCTCTCCTTGTTGTCTTTGAGGTATTTGGACTTCTGCTTGTTGTACTCTTGTTCAAAAGCCCAAACGTAGACGAGCCCCTGACCTCCAGGCTTCAGGAGTCTTACGAGCTCCCTCACTGCTGCCAGCCGACGCTCCTGCAACACACGGATATTTCAACTGATCTTAATAAAACTCAGAAAAGAATCCCTGTAAATCAAACAAACTTGATTTGTAGTTGTTTTATGTTGCAGTATAAACAGTCAAAATTGAGAATATCCTACTTTAAAACCACAACTGTGAACTGACTTCAACTGCGTTTATATTCGAGGCTAAATATTTAAAGCATTAAAGCAATAAACTGAATCTGAAGACTTTCTGCTTCGGACGAGTAGGAAAATTATTTTAAAAAGTCTTTAAACTTATTTAAAATGCCTAATTTTGTGCTATATCCAGAAGAGCTCATTTGTTAGCTGCCCTGATAAGAGACCTTCAATTGTTCAAGCAAATCAGATATTTTTTGTCATGCTTAGGCCTGTCGTGATAAACAATAAATCAATTAATCGCATGATAAATGAAAATTATCAACCTCATTTTCATTTATCGCTTTATCGCTTCTTTGCGTCTCTCTCTTTCTACTGGAGACGCTGGATGACAAAAAGCTCAACTCCAGTGTTCTTCACTGAGCCCTCCCGCTCTCTTTTCTCTTAAAATCTGTTTTAACCGTCCAAAATCACGTTTTTGGATCGTTAAAAGCAGCTAAGCTGAGAAGCTAAGCTACGAGCTAAGCTAACAGGCCGACCTTGGGATAAAACCTCCGTCTTGTCGAAGCTCCAAAATTCACAGTTGAAACCCGTGCCTTTGTGTAAAAAGTTTTTCTCTGCAAAAACAAGCTGAAAACTTGTTGACTGATTTTTTTTTATTAAAAGCTTTGTGTGAAAAAGGCTTAAGAGCTCAAACCACACCGAGCATCCACCATTTTGAGAACCGAAGAGAGACAGCCCACGTCACGTCAGGAAGAAAACGCTGCTTGCTCTCTCACTATCCATCCTTCGGTTCAAACAGTCTTATTCTGCCATCTGGTGGTCGAAAAAAGGTACTACATGCAAAACAAATTAACCAACATTTTTTCTTAAATTTAACAATAATTACTAATTATTGTCAAATTCCAAACAATATTATCGTTTATCGCAATAATTTCAAAGACAATCGTCCAGCAAAATTTGTTATTGTGACAGTCATGCTAAGTCGAAGGCATTTTGACATTTACATCACATCCACACTTTTGCAAAAATGTTTTGTGAAGATTTAATTTTCTTTTATTGTTTCAGCATGGCTTAAAGAGCGCCCAAGAACCCTACAGAGAATAGCGCAGTGCGGAAACAGCACATGATGCTAACTAACCTTGAAAACTGTCGCAGCAGACTGTTTGAGCAATGTTGTCTTGTTTCCACAAGGTTAAAGCAGGCATTGCAGCGTTTGGAGCGATTTGTTGTTTTGGGTTGCATCACAAGGTCAGACCTGTGACAAACACCAAATATTGTGCAATATGAGATAAATGGGATTCTGTGTGCAGAGCAACAATTAGGCCCTATTGGTTATTGATTCACTCGACCCCGGGGCCTGCATCTGCAAGTATCCACCAGATCTGTGTGACAATAAAACTCTGCAAGAGTCAACAGCAAAACAAAGTCAAACCCATCGGCCACACTAGACCTCGTCTTGTCTTGTAGGAATTGAAAACCAGCAGGAACCTGGTTTATAGAAGCTGCCATGTTGTATTTTTTGGTATCAGTCTGTGCGCTGTTGATGAGGGGCTTTATGTCCCACCTGCTCTCCTGCACACAACCATGGAGGTACATGAGCTTTCTTTAAGCATTAAATTAATTGCGCTAAACGTGTTAGAAAAATGACTATTGAAACATACAGCAGCAAGATAAGACCGTCATTGGCCCCTTGGCTTCATACGGCCACTGCAATGTCAGGAATCTGGGAGTTATTTTTGATAGTGCTTTTAAATTAGACAAACAGATAAATACAGTTGTTAAATCCAGTTTCTTCCAGCTAAGACTTATTGCCAAGGTGAAGTCTTGTCTCCCTTTCAGAGACCTTGAAAAGGCGATTCACGCTTTTAGTACATCTCGTTTGGACTACTGTAATTCATTGTATGTTGGTTTAGACAAATCATCTTTGCATGGTTTACAATGTGTCCAGAACGCAGCAGCTCGTCTTTTAACAGCAACTAAAAAACACGAACACATGACCCCTGTCCTGGCTTCTCTCCACTGGCTTCCTGTCCACTTCCGGATTGATTTTAAGATTTTATTGCTTGTTTTTAAAGTCTTAAAAGGTCTAGCCCCGTCATATTTATGTGATCTCATTAACATCTACACTCCAGTAAGAGCACTCCGGTCTACCAACCAGTTCCTCTTAGATGTCCCCAGATCCAAACTGAAATCCAGAGGTGATCGAGCTTTTGAGGTTGCTGCTCCAAAACTGTGGAACAGTTTACCTGAAAATTTAAAGAGCGCTCAGACTGTTGAGACTTTTAAATCTTTGCTCAAGACTCATCTGTATTCCTTGGCATTTCATCCACGCAGAGTCTGAGAACAAGTTGAGCTGATTTTATTGTTGTTGTGTGTTGTTTTTACTGTCAACTTATGTTTTTGAGTGGCACTAGATGCATTTTTACTCTTTTTTAAATTTTTAATCTGTCTCAACTGTAAAGCACTTTGGTCAGCTTTTGTTGTTTTTATGTGCTATATAAATAAATTGACATTGACATTGACATTAATCAACATCTGGATCTTTTTTTTAAATCAATGCAAAGTCCCGTTAGTTTAAGCGGAGGGAACGAGACTTAAAACTTGGATTGGAACCAGCCTACGTGAAGACCAGTCCCCTTTCAGATTCAACTCTCTTATGAGGCCGATGTTGTATATTACTTAATATGTATGGTCCATGACCAAACCTCTGTCAAAAAACAATCAAGGAAGCTTGCTCCAAACAAAAACTCAATCTTATCTACATTTGAACAATTTATCCCTCAGAAAAACCAGTGACAGATAAATGCTTTCATACATCTCCTCCTACATGTCTCTGTGTGAGTGCAGCTACAGCGTGCGCTCTCAGGACATTATTACCTGCAGTGTTCCCTCAGTGAGGAGTGAACTAGGCAAAAGGTCCTTCTCCTACTCTGCTCCTGTTTCCTGGAATATCTTGTAAAAACATCTGAAGCTCTCGACCTTGACCTCTGTAAGTGGCTTCAAACATCTGTTATGTTCATGACAAAAACCAACACAGAGATGTTCCTGTTTTTAGTTTTCTACACTGTCTTATAATATAGTTGTTTTGTTACATTTTTAAAATACCATTTTATTTTCACTTGTTCTCAATTTGTATGCATCTTTATGATTGTCTGTTATTGTCTATTGTTGTCACCACTCTTTGTTAAAACCAGGACTCTCTTGTAAATGAGTCCCCGAGGCTCAATGGGATTAACCTGTACAAATAAAGGTTGATTGAAAAAAGATGAGAAAATATTAAAATTTCATTTTTTCAGTTCACAAACCAGCACTTTGTTGGGCCCTCTTAGACTGGAGTGTAAGGTGTTGACACGGTGGTTTAACTGAAGTAGAATTATGTCAAAACATTAAGACACAATAATATCTGAGCACTGGTCCAGGCAGGAGTGAGCTGTGATGTTAACAAAGTGGAGTAAACCAACCAAGTTAAGTCAGGTCACCTGGACGGTTTCTTTTCATCCTTCATCCAAAGGACTTCATCAGTCCAAGCAGCTGCAACAAACTCAGTCCTGTAAGCAGCACACTCACATAGTGGACCAACCAGTTTGATGCTGATTTCTGGAGTCCGCCCTCTCCCCCGCTGATTCGTCTGTGGCAGCCATGGCCAAAGTGGTTCAAAACATCTCGTCACCATCAAAATGGTTGGTCCAATATGTGAGTGTGCTGCTTATGGGACTGAGTTTGTTTTGTCTCCTCGGACTGATGAAGTCCTTTGGATGAAGGACGAAACGTTTCAACAGAAAGAAACTGTCCAGAGGACCTGACTGAATTGTGTTGGGTTTTTACCTGGATTTAGAGCATGAACTTTGAAGGTGGAAGTAAGTTAAACTGGAGTTCAAACCAAAAAAGTCCATGCTCAATAATCCAGGTATACAATCCAACAATTTTCAGTCAGGTCATCTGGACAGTTTCTTTTTTTTTTCTGAAATGTTTCACCTTCCATCCAGAAGGCTTCATCAGTCGAGGAAACGCACAACACAAAACTGATTCTTCCCCCAAACTTCTTACTCCAAAGTGGAACAAACCAGTTATGTTGGTGCTAAGATGGTGTCTTTGGCACGCCCCCTCCTCTGTTGCCGGCCCTCTTCCTCGTCGACAGTCATGTCAAACTGGTTCAAACCCCAGGGCGTGCCAAAGACACCATCTTAGCACCAACATAACTGGTTTGTTCCACTTTGGAGTAAGCTGTTGGGGGAAGAATCAGTGTTGTGTTGTGCGTTTCCTCGACTGATGAAGTCTTCTGGATGGAAGGTGAAACGTTTCAGCACAAAAGAAAAATTTACTGTCCAGATGACCTGACTGAAAAATGTTGGATTAAACTGGAGTTCATTTATACTGGAGTTTGAGATACAAACTCCATACAAAATTGAGTTTTTTGCATAGATATGTCAGTCCTGTGACTTATACACCGAAGCGACTTATATACGTTTTTTTTTCCATATTTATAACTCAATTTTTGACTAATACTTTAAATTTCAAAGAACTGCAACAGCGAGTCCTCTCGTACACACTCGTTTCACTCAGCTGGTGCAGGTGGAGGAACGCTGGAGAGCTAGCAGCTCCGGCTGTAATGGATGGATGGATGAATGAATGAATGAATGAATGAATGGATGGATGGATGGATGGATGGATGGATGGCGCTGCAAAATCAAGCTGTTTTGACCATTAAATAAACACATCATAAACACGACGGGTCAGCGGTGACACATAATAAATGTGACTTATACACCGAAGCGACTTGTTTTTTTCCTCTTCATGATGCTTTTTTGACTGATGCAACTTGTACTCCGGAAAATACGGAATACAGTTTCAGCTTATCTGCTTTACTTTGACACCATTTTTGAAGCTGATTTATCTTTTGCAAACTTTAAATTGTACTTGTTTTATTTTTTTACTTGTATTTACAGGTAATCTCAAAGAGACATGTAGTCTCATTTACAAGAGAGACCTGTAAACGCCACAGAAACACGTTTAATAACTGCAGACGTTACAACTGAACTGTTGCAGATTTTTAATTCCTGAGTTACGTTCAGGTGTGCACATTCTTCCTCTTTTCTCTGGTGCCACTAGCACAGGATGGGAGAGGTCATAAAACAGAGAAGACTGACCAGCTGACAGGTTTTCATCTCCATTTGTGGCGTGAAAACAGCAGATATAAACAATACATCCATGGTCTCCATTTAATTGTATAAAAACAGATGGGTAAAACTAACAGACATGCTAATTTTCTAATATTTTTAATTTAACATTTTGTATTCATTTTAAATAATTTTCTGGTATTCTTTAAATACATTAAGTAAATTATGACATAATTATTAAGCATGTTTTCAGAGTTACAGCTGGCCTGATACCTTTCTAGGCTCTAGATTACAATTTCAAGGTCCCAAAATGGATCCAGAAATGTTTGAGAAGCTGTCTTCACAAATACAGAAGTCGTCTTTATTTGTGTGTGGGGGGTGCATACCTGCGTGGAAAAATGATGTATGACAGCAACAGAGATGCAGGCATCGCAGGAGGCTGTTCGAAGGGGGACGCTGAGAGCGTCTGATACAAACGCATGGAAACCCCTCTCTGCACAGATCTGGACGAGAGCGCTGCTGCGATCGCATCCCACCTGAGAGCAGACAAGGGCAGCTGATGAAAATATAATAGGAAACACAAAGGGCAAATGCTAAAATAACAGAAAGGGATGAAGGAGCTGGACATGGAGAGGAAAAGGGATTAAAGAGCAGAACAGAAGCAAAGAGTAAGGAGGAAAATGGGGAAAAGGCAGAATAAATCACAGAAAACTGGCGTGTGACCTGCATAAGCTCAGTGTTCTCAGAGATGATTTATCACAGCTACGGTCTGAGTCAGGATAAGCTGCTTACATGCATCTCCAAAATCCCAAACAGGAACATCCCAGTACGCATATGTAAACAGAAAATTAGGATATTACCATGGAAACGAAGCAAAGGCAAACAAAGACATCAGCCGAAAGCAGCGAGTGAACGTGGATCTCACTTTTCCAGGCGTTACTGACGACTCCCTGCATTCTGTCTTTACATGTTCTGTTGTTCTTGCAGAACCAGAGCCGCATCAACCACAAAAACAAGGCCCGTCACAAACTCACATCCTGCCAAACCAATGTGCAGAGCTCAGAGTATGTGTTGGGAATGACTCGCAGCTACTACCACACCAGATCTCAGCTCATTCAATGTAAAACTGATTAAGTTAACAGACATTTTTGTGTTTGCTAAGGTCCACTGGCTCTGGTGGACATGGTATTGTTCCTACAGAGAGCAAAGTTATTTTGATCCATTTTGGCTCATGATTTTAAAGCAGCTGCTGGAACTGAAGTTCTAATGAGGTTGAAATTAATTGTTTGCTGCTTCTGTTGCCACTAACTTCATCATTCTATTAGAAAAGACACGTTTCTACCGTATTTTCTGCCGTACATGTCGCACCGCCCAAGAAGTTGCATCAGTCCAAATATGTCTAATAACATGGAAAAATCCTTAAATATGTCACTTTGTCGTATAAGTCACATCTATCATGTGTCACCGCTGACGCGTCGCGTTTGTTTCACGTCACCACTGACAACCCGGAAATGTGGGTCGGTGTTGTGCCAAAAACTGATTGGCTGCCAAATGGCGGCCGCAGGAGCGTGCACGGGAGGACTTTAACAAGAATTTAACAAGATTAACACTTAAAAACAATTATTTGTTTGCTCGACTTTATAGTAAAGGTGTGTCTCAGCTGAACTTTTACTTAATAAATGAACTTTAATGGTCAAATCAGCTGCATGTCTCCGGGGCGGCGCAGTGAAATGAAGCTGACTTGACGGTTGCTCCAGGCGAGCTGGACAAAGGTGGCAGGAGCCGAATGTGTTAATAATAGCTACTTTTACCTATTATATGACACAACGACATGCCATACTACTTGACTGCCATCTAGCGGCTGAAAATGGTAGTGTTCAATATGTTCAGTCAGAATGAATGAAAACGGTCATATCTCTGTCAAACATTGGTTTATAAATATGGGAAAAACATAAATAAATCACTTCGGCTTATAAGTCGCAGGGCATGTAAAATATGAAGAAAAAAACACGACTTATAGGGTGAAAAATACGGTACATATAAATACTTGTTTAGTTGACTGAAAGGGACACCGAACCATCACAGAACTAGAGAAATTGCATTTCCTGCGTAAATGCATGTGTGAATGCTTATTGCTAAAGAACGTGCTGAAAAACGGCTGCAATTAGCTTAAAGCATGCTGAATAGTAGCTAAAGAAATTAGAAATAAGCTTAAATTTCCAAAAGGAAGTTGGGGGAGATTCATTGTGCACACTTAGGCTGAAAAAGTCAGAAACTAGTACAATATAGTTCAAACTGTCTGAGAAAAGCTGAAATTTGCTCAAAACAGGCTGAATAGTAGCTAAAACAGGCAGAAAGAAGCCTAAATTACTAGAAGGAAGTCGGGAGAGCTTATTTTTCTGAATTAGGCTAAAAAAAAGATTAAATGTTTGCAAAAAATGTTGAATTAGCTGAAAAAGCTTAAATTAGCATATATAAATAGTTGAAATAGCTGAAACTTGAATAAATAAGCTGAAGGGAGCAGAGCAAGCTGAAATTAGCAGAAATAAGTCAGAAGAAGTACAAAAATGTTGAAGTAAGCTGAATAAAGCTGAAAAGAGCACAAAACAGCTCATCGTTGGACACCACTCACTGTGACCAGCTGTGGGTTCACGCCCAGGTACTTCCCGTTTCCACAGCCTACATCAGCTAGCACGCTGCTGGGTGCGAGTGAGGACAGGAAGTGGCAAACACGAGGCCAGGGAGTGTGGCGAGTGCTGCTGAAGTGGGAGGCGATGGCGTCGTACACCCGGTGCACGTATTCCTCCTCCAAACGGGCTGCGTCGGCATGGCAACAGGGAAGAGGTGGAGGAGACGGCAGAGAGGTTGAGGCTGTCCTCTGACTGTCACAGGCAGAGGGGAAGGCTGGAGGTGACCGACAGGAGGGGGTGGGGGAGAGACAGTTACATTCAGCTGGAGATATGATGAATACAAATGTATTCTAATTTTATCTATTGTTTGAATCTTCTTTAAAATGTTCTCTGATTATTGTCTGTTTTCACAAAGCAGTGATAATCAACTGGTGGTCCATTCAATTCAGCTTCTACTAAAAACATCTGATCCAGGAACCAGTTGTTGCTGAAGAGACACGGTGTGTAGTGTCACAGAGCAGACGTTCATGGTTCGCCCAGTATGAAACCTGAGTTCAGCTCCCACACAGGCCATGATCAAACACAAAGTCCTGGTCAACGTCTTCGACTTGAAAGTTTACCAAAGTTTAATTTTTAGAGCAGAGTTTAGCCGAGAGAGACTGTAGAAAAAGCTTCATCAAGTTCAACTATACTCTGTTCAAATCAGTAGTGCAGAACTTGTAACGTCCTTACCACAGCGACACGGTTCATGTCTGATCTTGCGGAAAGTGAAAGAAATGCGGGTGGCCCTCTTGCTCAGAGTGAGACCGCTTTGGGTCCCGACGTCAGGAGGAGTATGAGACTGTGGCGTACATGCTGGCACCAAGTCAAACTTTCGAGGAGTAATCCTGACACAGAATAAGAACAATCAAACACGCAGCACAAATAACCAGACAGGGCACTGACAGCAGGATGGCGCAAGTTCACAATTTAATTTGGATTATTAAAAAAACCTTAATGCTTCAACAAAACCTGCAGATATTTCAGAAGCAGCATGAGAAGGACATGAGCCCGACGTGGTACGGCTTACCCGTGCGTCCAGAGGTATCTGCTCTCTCCTTTCATCAGCAGCAGGCTGCGGCCCGGCAACGTCACAGCAACAACACGACCATCCGGGTGACGGAACTCCATCACAGCCTGAAACAAGATGCACAGACATGTAGCGAGAACCATCAACATCTACACCGGACCACTTACAAAGAAAACACACAGCACAAAGAGACTAGCAGAGCAATTAATATCTTACCTGTTTTGGATAACTGTGCAT